AGTTAAGTCTCCAAAAATATAGTTCTATATCTCTGATTGTAACATCGCCACACCTGAAACTTGAAGTAAGATTAAATGCTTGAGAGAAAACAGGATGAAAAAAAAAAATGTCAATGGAATCCTGGGAGGATAAATTGTGTTGGCTTCTTTTTCTCTTCACATTTTTGCAAGCCTTTGAGCCTCTTTCAGCCCTTGTACACAAAACTACCTTCCATCTCACACCTCCAAACCTGCCGTCGCTGTCCACCTAAACTGACAGGCCGGCGCGAGGATAGCGTCAGTCAGAGAGACAGGAAGAAGGTCTGCGGTAGCTCTGGTGGACCAGCAAGAGATGTATCTGTTCATGCTGTTAATGTGAAACATTAAGGTACTTTGGGAAGAAAATAATTATACAAATAGGAGAAAAAAAAAATCTCGAGACAATGACTCACAATTGTCAATATGGCGTCTCCTGAACCGATGGACATACAACAACACACATGGGTGTGTGTGTGTGTGTGTGTGTGTGTGTGTGTGTGTGTGTGTGTGTGTGTGTGTGTCTGTGTGTGTTTTTGATGTGACTCTGTTTATATTTGGGGGTTCACCTCTTGAGGAGATCGTTTCAGAAATGCATCCTCATAAATTGTCATTCCATCCTCCGCTCATCCAATGTGTATTTTTGTAATGCATGAGAGGCCATATTCAAATGAAGGAGGGGAAGACCTTTCACACACACGCCAAGCTATAATGGGGAAAGCTTAGCATAACTTCCGTCTGATTTCCAATGCAAATATTAGCAGTCAAGTTCAGTGTGCGGCTGCAGATTATAGTTTATCCTTCTCACACACCACAGAGTTCTTTTACGCTCTGGAAACATTTTGCTTATCAGTGCAATGCAACGATCAACTCTCTTCACATCCTCTTAGTCCCTTGGAGACTTCAAGAGGGACTAGGGGTAAAGAGAGGAAACGCACAATGATATGGGCTGGGGGGTGTTAATGGGTAAACGAGGGAGGGGAGGGAAAAGAATTATCAACAATCAAATGTAGTATGATCCACCCCAAACTTCAGCCACCACCGATGTATTATTATTATTTTTTTTTTTCTGTTTCCCTTGTCTGAATCCTCAGTGCTTAAATCCTTAAATTAAACATCTTAATTGCTGTAAGCCTCACTATCAAATTGGGAATTACAAAGAACTCAGTGGATTTCTTCCAACTCACCCTCTCCACTCCTAATAACATATCACATACTATTGTTTATGTAATTACACAGCGTGAGATGCAGTGGCAGGCGCCCTCCCATTACCCCCCCGCGCTCTTCTTGTGTTTTTAATAGCATAAAGGCAGCATGACTGATGAGTTCTCACATCAAACAATAAATTCCAAATAGCTGAAGAAATTCTATTAGCAGCTGAAATCTTCACATTGGCCTGCGTATTATAAGTAAAACAGATCAGCTTAAGTATGTATTTCAGCAAACTAATTGGTGAAAGAAACTACTGTATGATGTAGAACGATTGTAATTAAGCTGAGGTGACAGGCTGCATAAAATAGGTTTACATTGTGCGCTACACTGGTCTGCAGCTTACTTTGTGAGGTTGTATTTAATTTACTGTTCTTGAAATATTTGCCAAAATGGTTGATCTCAAAACATTCTTTTTGACTTACAATACAACATTATGTCTTGCATGTGATTTTTTCTTTTTTTTTTCTTTTTGTCAGACAAAACTATTGAATGTTCATGAATGACATTGCCAATTTTAGAGATTTTATTGATGGTAACTAAATATTGGACTGTAAAACTAAGATCATTAGAACAATTTAGACTTTGGTTTAATGAGAAATTAATGAACAACCTTACAAACTAAAAACATACAAATCACAAACTCAACCAGAATACCGCCGTCACACTGATGCACACTTTTGTTTAGTTTTATGGTCAAGATATGGAAAGTAATTTAGTACTTCACCTAACGCTACATTTACCTATGTGTCACACACATTTAGATTTTATGTGACACATAATTGAACAGGTCAAAAAAAATGAGCAAAGTAGAGTTCAGATGTTTACTGCAATGGTGCACACTGTGGCAGAAGTGGTGCAACTGTTACTTAAATAGAGAAGCGAATACAAGCATTACTTTTGTGGTAAGCTAGTCCGATGTTTCAGTCACTTTGGATGCGTCACCATCAAATGGTGTGGCTCGCAACAAAACTCAGACCAGGTAATGTCAAAAATGAAGACCATTTATTATCCGCTGAAATATGTATATCCTGGAAAGTCCATGTTTGATTTGATTGCTGTTTAAAGTTAATGTCTTGTGGCAACAAAGCAGACCCCAGATGTCACCTGTTTACTTGACATTTCCCTTGAGGTATGTTTGCCAAAATGCTGGTTTGGCATTGTGTATAGTTTTAGAAAAAAAAAGAAAAGAAAAAAAAAATATATATATATATATATATATATATATATATATATATATATATATATACTGCTCAAAAAAATAAAGGGAACATTTCACTTTAATTTTGTGTGTGGCTCCAAATCCAGGCCTCCATTGGTTAATAAATTTGATTTCCATTGATGATTTTTGTGTGATTTTGTTGTCAGCACATTCAACTTTATACAGAACAAAGTATTCAATGAGAATATTTCATTCATTCAGATCTAGGATGTGTTATTTGAGTGTTCCCTTTTTTTTTTTGGAGCAGTGTATATAGAGTCTCTTTTCTTATTCTTTGGAAATGGTATAACCCGTGCCCGATTATTGACATTTGCCTATAGTGAGTTTAGCAAGCGCATTTGATAGGCAGCATCTGTTTTTCTACTTATCCAGATAATTTCCATATGGGAAGAAGAAAAAAAAAAGTATTTTTCTTTTTACACACAAACATTGCTTTTGGGTTGGATTTTATTGCCCAACACAGTCATGTTTTATTGTTCCGCTAATTCAGAAACAAGAACAAAACAACAACTTTGCGGTACATTTTGTGGATTTCTGTGTTAAACAACATTTACTGTCAGGGGTGCAATACTTTTTTTTTTTTGTTTTTTGGTAGGCTTGGCTGTGTCACACTAAACACCAGAGGGGAGGGAGAAGTACACAGCAGTGTGTGGCAGCACAGGCAATTAGAAGTTGCTTAAGGTCAGACTGCGTCCCTTGAGAGTTGAGGAAACAATAAATAATTTGGAGGGTAAAAAGCAAAGTCTTGCCCAGTACAAAATGCATTGTGTTCTTTTAAGTCATGACAATTTATTTTCCCAATGAATTATATATGTGGGAGTTTGTTGCCAACAAGCTTTGTCCACTGAGGGGGAGATAATCTTCAATCTTTGCAAATACTTCAATAATTGCATGCAAGACAAACACAGAAGGTCATTTGTTTGTAAAGAGAGTCGTGAAGTATTCCCTGAACTGTAGCAACTCCCAGAAGTTTTGGACAATGGCAGTCCGGCTGCACTTATGCTAAAGTCATTCCTCACATATTGTTTCCGCTAATAGCAAGTGCAACAGCTTGTGGAAAATGCAGTGCCAGTAGTTTATAACAGATGGCATAAAGGAATAAAATCCACACCCAAAAAAGAATCTCCTGCATTACTTAGAAAAATCACTGCACACTCTCCACGGAGAAGCAAAAACCTCTGGTGTAAGTTGTGTGGGAAGAGTAATCAGTTATTAGACTCTAAACTGTGGCAACTATGATTACAGGCGGTGTGAGCAAACCTGAAAAGCTGCCTTTAAACTTTACATCTGTGAGATTAGAAATTTCCAGTTGGATATACTGCCGGGAAGCAAGCGCGTTCTTTTTTTTTTTTCAAACCAAATCCATTCACACGCAGCAGTTTGCTGCATTGTATTTTTTTTTCCCTGTTCTTGTTTTCCAAAACATTAGTCTTGCTAACTCTACTGCGTGCAAATGCAATGACTCAGGCAAGCCTCTTGTCTCCTTCTTGCTACTTTTCTTGTTTCTGCGTCATCCCTCACGCTTCCTCCTCTTCCTGTGTTTAGGAGGCGGTGAGTAAATCATATGGTCGGCTTGTGCAAAGCCAGAAAATAATGGGATCATATTCCATTCTCTTTCGCCTATTAGAGTTTCATACAATAGCAAAAAAAAAAAAAAAAAACTCCACTTTCAACACCCAGGAAATTCTAAAGACTTCGACAAATCAACATCTCCTGACAACTACATAATGTATGGTTTTTGGTGTGCAGCATGTGAAGCCCCATCACATCCTGTGGTAGCTGCACTGATTTACCCAACTCATACTGCCAGCAACGTTGGACTGGAGGCAAAGGATTGGAGTTTAGTTTACGAGGTACGAAGAACAAAACACAACTTGAGCAGAGAACATCTGCTTTTCAGGCTTTGATGGACTTGCAGACTTGGTGGATTTTACAATCAAGGATTTATTTATTCAGATTTGTGCAGGCAGCCTTGTGTGCGCACAAAGTAATGAGTGTGGCAAAGAGCCTCATGAAAATTCAAAATAGTGTCATCAGTGATTCAGACACATCACAAGCATTGTTTGTCTTACTTGTCAAAAAGTCTTGGGAATTTTCCAAATGTTTACAGTCCTGTCTTGATATCTCTATCCGAAATATAACCATTTGGCTTTAACAAAGGCATTCGCATTCAGATTTCTGACTGTTCACTGCTGACTGATGAATAGCCAAGTGAAAGTCTGGTTGAAATGACAGCTCTTTTCCAAAGCCAATTTATCTTCTCTTCCTCTTTGTTTGGAATATCGTTGTAGGATATGTGAGAATAAAACCGTAGGGAGTGGCTTAGCAGCCGTAGATTTACTTAGTTTTATAGGTCCCGTCAACAGCATTCCTCCACATGGCACCACTAGGAGATTATTGGAAACTCACAAAAATTATTTATTTGTATATATATAAGGAGAGAGGCTACCATATTACCATGTTGTTATGCATTATAAACACAGTATTTCAGAGTCGTTCTTCACCCGTACTCATGCTCTTCATTCCACTATGTCCTGGGGTCAAAGTGGAGCTCTGAGTGGAAGCCATTTCCAGCAGGAACCTTTCTGCTGCACAGTCCAATAGGGCTGATTAACGAGTAGAAAGTATGGTTTGTCTTCTACAGCCGAGTGAACAACTTCATTTCAGCTGATGAGTTCAAGCTCAGGTCATGGTGGTCTTCATCTGTGACATTACAACAGCCACACAATGAGAATTAATTTCCCACACTGAAAACAACTGTGTTGGCATTGGCACTTGGCTTTTGAAACATATTGCAATTAGGTTCAAACAACTCGGAGAGTCGTCTTGTGTTCAAGTGATATAGGCTTTTTTTATGTTTTTGTCATTGTAAGAGTGTGTGCGCGCGTGCGCGAGCGTGTGTGTGCTTTCTTTGTTTTACTTTGTTCACTTTTCATGTGGCTTTGGTTTTGCTGGTCAAATGTAAACAGTGATGCCTTTTTTTCCAAGCCTTTTCTACGTTTGACAGATTATTGTTTGGAGTCTGCCGCTCTGTACTTTCCAGCTCTTGCAAATGAATGTACTGAACACAAACAGGTGAAGCAATCTGCAATATCATTTTCACACAAAAAAAAAAAAGAAAAAAAAAAGCCTGCACCAGGAGAAGAAAACCTGAAGCTGAGCTGTGCCTAGCTTTGTTTTGTAAGCCAACCAACCAGTTTGCATCTAATATTACCACTGCAAAGAAAAAGAAAAAGAAATTAAAACTACTTTTGTGATGTCTGCTTGGATTCGCCGCCTGTCAACTTGCTTCTGAATTCTCCAGAGCAACTCTCTGAGGCATGCATTCATGCACTCTCTGTTTCATTCTTAGCAATTTACCCCCACCCACCCAGCCATTTCATTTATTTATTATTTATTTTTCTTTGCAGTCAATCATAAAACAAAATATATCCAGTTCTTAGCTTGCCATTCAAGCATCACCAATGTGCAGAAGGTCTCATAAAACCCAAGAAATAGAAACCTTATGATGGCCTAAGACTTGTGGGAACTTTTAGATTGTTTTGTTGTGTATTAGGCTACTGGGGAAATGAGGAATATCACAGCAGAATTATTCTGTATTTAAAGACATATATGCTAATGAAATGAAGTTATTCTTTAATGGGTAATCATTAATAAATTCACAGGTTCAACAGTACTTTTTTTTTTAATTAGAAGGTTATTCAGATGACTGGTGGCGGTCTTCACTGTGGTTGTGAAAGTGAAATTGATTTGTTTGTGTTGTGATATGGGCATTATGGTGGATCTTGCACAAATACAAATTCCTCTCCACTTTTTTCAAATAATTGTAATATAAAGGTTCAGCTCCCTAAAGTCTGAAATCCCAAAATAAAATCCAGTTGAACAAATGCCTATGACCTATGATCTTCTAAATCCACTAAGTGAATGCATATGCACGCCCTGCTTTACAGATGATAATTTATAATAAAAAAAAAAAAAAATTGAAAATCATGTCCCAATTTTTACATTGTAACCAATTGCTAGTTACAGATGGTTGACCAAAACCAGAAAATCCCAAAATATGCTAAAGGGTTTGAGTGTGACAATGTGGACAAAATGTTTCAAACTTAAAGTTGGATGATGAAGCATATGTGTTTTCAACAAATCAACTAAAATAGATGTATTGTGACAGTTGCAAATTAATGCATTGCTTCAAGAAACAGCCAAACTTTTTTTTTTTTTTTTTTTTTTGGAAAGCATTACACCGGGAAACACATGTTCCTGTAAACCACTGAAGAAAACAGCCAAGTGATGTCAGTCGATGCATGTTGCAGTCAGTTCTATCGTAGCCATGATGAAAGTTCTGTCTTTTGGATTTGGAAAAAAAAAAGTTGCACCTTATCTTTGCTGTGGAATATTCATCACTGCAATTACTCAAGCCTGCAGTGGTCTTCTAAGTCGGCGTGTGTGCGTGTGTTTTAGCATTTCTCAACATTTAAGGTCCATTATTCCAACAAATACTATGTTGTGAGGACTTACTCCTCATTATGGGACCTAAAGATTGGTCCTCACAGGAAGAAGTGCTTATTTTGGGTTATGTTTCTTGGCTAGGTTTAGGATAAGGGTAAAGGTTAGGCTATAGAGATTAAAGAAAAATAAATGGAAGTCAATGGAAAGTCCCTGTGAACATAAAACGATATGCGTGCATGTGTGTGTGATCAAAAAGTTATACACAGGTGACTGTTCATAAATCAGCATCCCATTATGAAAATGAACATACGGTTAGAGACAACGGCACTGTTGGGTAAAAAAAAAAACAAAAAAAAAAAAAACAAAACAAAAAAAACACACATACTACCTCCAAAGTGATAGAAAGCTTGAGTTGTACCTTAAATAAATCCTGCAGCCACAAAAGTTAAATCTGCTTTGATGAAGTTTCCCTCTCTGCTCTCAAGTCTGCAGCTTGTGTAGGTTTGAAGAAAAGAAATGTATAAACGAAAAAAAAAAAGAAAAAAAAAAGGTAAACAGCCCAGACGTCGTGAAGACTGAATGGCGGCGCATTTGTCGCCGGTGCTCCATCCTCCCTCCGCTTATATAAAACACAAGTTGGCCTCGGCAAAGGCAAAGAGCTTCTCTCCTTCAAGCATGACGGAAGACGGAGAAAGAATATGTAACCATCCTTAAGTAATTTTGTTTACCGGCCCTGGCTCTTGTGCACTCAGGGTAAAATCTCCAGGCACCCTCCCATCTATTGAACAAAACTCAGCAAATTGGTACCTCAGGTTTATTTCTCTTTGAGCTCCCTCACCTGGGATTCGGGGGAAGAATTGCCTTGTAGGCCTGAACTGCAAACAGCTTTCTCTCTGATCTGTTCCCTTCGCCCTCACACTATTTGAACTGTGTTTTCCCCTGGCATTCTGGGAACCGTTTGCTCTTTTGTGTGTGTGTGTGTGTGTGTGTGTGTGTGTGTGTGTGTGTGTGTATGTGTGTGTGTTGGAGAAAGAAAGAGGCTGTGTTCTTCATACATTTTTTAAAGTCTGGAGTATGTTCCCTCATGCAGACCCAAACACACATAGTCGTGCCCACTTTCTCTTCATGCACACGTCGGCGCTTTCAGGGCAGCTCTGTCAGTACCTGGACATCAGCTTTCCTCAAAGCAAAAAGGTCCACCACCTCGCCTCAATTTGTAAACAAGTTTGGACGACATGAGCGCATTAGTGTCGGCTCTCTGTAAATTCAGTGTTGAGAAATGCCAAGTGCGTGTACAACACGGCGCTTTGATGAACCTGTCATCAATCAATAATTCATCACAACTTTGCTTGGCCATACAGGCATCTCAATATGTTCTAAGCGAAAAGAAAACGGAATCAAATGAAAGCAGAAAGCTTTGCAAAAAAAAAAAAAAAAAAAAAAAACCTGAAAAACACATCATGTTTATATTTAATAGCTTTTTTGCTTTTGGAAATGTCACAATGCTCTCGGTCAGCATGTTTCGACAGGACCAGAGGAAGGAAGGATGGAGGAGAGGAGCACAAGGCGGGAGAGGAAAAAAAAACAAAAAAACAACAACAACTTCGTACAAGCACCTCTGGTTTGTTCTCATATTGTTATTAAGCTCCACAGAGAAAGAGGAAGGGGGGGGGGGGTTGTGGAAAAAAAAAATGCTTCGGCCACCATCTTGTGGTATTTCCTGCTAATCCCCACAACCTCCTGCTCAGCGCTGGTTCTGGTGGTCTTTCTGGCGTGCGAGTGTGCATGTGTGTTTGCATTTATTGTGTCCAGCCTGCACATGTGTCGGGACTGAGGTTTTTGATGTGTGTGGCCAAAGTTTAAATCCATATACCAGGACAGCAATCCGGCTTGAAAACACAGCACCGTAATCCTTTAACCTTCAGAACAAGAGAAGCGAGGAAAACAGCTGAAGGCCCCCACGTGGTGGAGCAGCAGAGGGAGAGACGCATACGGCCAAGCAAGACCAGACCGGGGGGCCACTCATATTCCCTAACCCCTCCCCTTTGCTCTCGGGGCAGGGAAATGGATTTCTATTTCTGGTGGCTTGATATCGCAGATCATGGCCCTTTCAGGGCCTGGAGTTAACATCGTGGGCCGGTGTCAGGATGCGAGCGCTGATCAGAGCCAGAGAGATGGGTCCTGATGGCCTTGCAATCTGCCAAAGCTGTGATGGCTGCTTTGCTGATACCATCACAGTAAATTCTATCACTGTCACTCTCTGTTTCTATCCAGAAGCACTCAGACTGTGTGTTGGCACATCTTTGTGTGTCCATTTTGTTTGTGTACTCGGGTGTGGGTGCGTGTGTGCATGTGTGTGTGTGTGAGACGTTTCCAGCTGTTGATGATGGACAAGTTATCTGATGCCACTGTGCTCTATGTTATGTTATGTAGCATAACCTCAATAATGATGGTTCTTGAAAATGTAAAGACATGGAATCCCAGGTGCAGTGATGAATATTAATATAGCTGGTATAATTTTGCTTTTGGAAGGGAGCAGCAGGTGTAAATGAAGCAAAAAGACTTTTTCAGCATACCAAAGTAGTCATGGTAGGTGTTTTATTGAGATTCGAGGCGAAGTGGAAGGAAAACAATGCAGATTTTATTTATTTATCTTTTTGTAGAAAAAAAAAAAAAAAAAAAAAAAAAAGAAAAAGGAGTTTTTTCGTCATATTTTTTAATTTTTTT